TCCAGGAGAAACAAAAATTATACAAGAAAGGAAATATAATCATAGTTCACATTTGGCTCAATAGTGTAAAGTATTATAGAATATAATGTATCTACTAGTGATTTAACCTAAAATAATGACACAGCCACAGAAGAAAGCTGGGACTGGGTTGTATATCAGGATGTCTATCAATTTCAGTCGTTCCCTGGACACACCTGCCCTTGGGTATCTTTCCACTCCTCTGGGGGCAGACTGCTCTTTGGACTTGCCCAGCTGTCACCTTGGGGCTCCCCAAAGCTTTTCCTCTGTTTTAGATTTCTTTTTTGCCAGATCCCAAGTTTCCCCTCACCTTTTAAAATTTACCTTCTCATTATATCCTTTGGTGGCTTCCTAAGAAATGGAGCATAGGAGGAAAAAAAAAAAAAACCTGAGACCTTAGATACCTAAAAATGTCTTTATTCTCCCTTCACACTTGTTAAATTGGTTATAGAATTCTAGGTTCAAAGTTATTCTCCCTCAGAAGTTTGGAAGTAATTCTCCCCTGTCTTCTGGCTCCCAGTGCTATTCTAATTCCACATCCTTGGGGGCATGTCACTTCTTTTTTCTCCCTAAAAGAAAAAAATAAGACAGCCATTTCCTCTTCTGCATCTGGATATTGTCAGGTGGGAATGTGATGCTTGGAATTGCTTCCATCCTTTTTCAGCCATGAGGGGAAGGCCAAAGAAACCACAGATAAGACGATATGATGCCCCAGTGTCTTTGAACCACTGGGTTTAACCATCTCTAAAACCAGCCTATCTAAAGACTCCTCAGAATGTGGGGTCATAAGCTCATTATACTTCAAGTACGAAAGTGTGGTCTGAGGCCACCAGAATCAGCACCACCTGAGATCTTATTAGAAATGAAAAAAGAAAGAAAGAAAGAAAAAGAAAGAAAGAAAGAAAGAAAGAAAGAAAGAAAGAAAGAAAGAAAGAAAGAAAGAAAAGAAAAGAAAAAAAAGAAAAGAAAAGAAAAGAAAGAAAGAAAAAGAAATGCAGAACCTCAGGCCTCACTCTGAATCAGGATCTGCATCTTAACAAAATCCCCAAAGGATTGATATGATGTTCAAGTTGGAGAAGCACTGCTTTTAGCCGGATTTAGCTATCTCCCTTCTTATCTAGAGCCCAACAATTTCTAACTGATAGAGTGGGTGTAGCCGACAACCTTGAAGCCACAAGTCACAACCCCTTGGCTCACTTTGATTCCAGCAACAGTTTCCGAGGTAAGAAGATTTCTGAAGATGTCCCTGCCCCTGAGACTCTTGAACTTGGGCTATTCCTCCAAATACTAATATAGTTACTGCTGTGAAGGGCTTTGCAGTTGGGATTAAGGTTACTACTAATCAGTTGGCCTTAAAACAGAGAAATTATCCTGGCGTATCCAACAGGGTTTGATGTATCACACGAGCTCTTCTGAGTGGAAGAGGAAGTCAGAGAGATTCAGTGTGTGAGGCTGAGCCTGACGTTGCTGGCTTTGAAAATGGAGGAAGGCAGCCACAAATCAAGAAATGCAGGCAGCCTTTTTCTTGAAGGTGAGAAAGACCCTCACCTGACAGCCAGCAAGGAAGTGGGAACTTCAGTTCTACAATTCCATAGAACTGAGGTTCTTTGCCAACCATCTGGGATTCGGATCCATTCCTAAAGCCTCTACAAAGGAGCAGAGTCCTGCCAACACTTTGATTTTGGTCTTGTGAGACTAAGCAGAAAACCAGCTGTGCCTGGACTTCTGGCTTACAGAAATTGTGAGATAGTACACTTTCCTGCTGTTTTAAGCTGCTAAGTCTGTTTTTTCTAGACGGTACAGTTAGGAGGGACAGTCTGCTAAGTCCAGACTTACCTCTACCTGGCAGCATCCCACTTCAAACCTACGATGTGTCTGTCTGTCTTTATACCTGCCTCAGGACCTTCTCTGACATCACGGGAGCCTACCTGGCACAAAGGAGACCAGAAGGGTGAGGAAGTTAATAGCCCTAAGGAAAACACTCAACCCGTGGATGATGGGGGCCAAGAGATAATTGCTTTAGCTTTAACCTTGTAATTCTGGGAGGCATTTGTACACTTTTTAGAAGGCAGACTCAAAGCCCCATTAGCTGTAGCAGAAATCTCCATAATGTACCCTTCACTCATTTCCCTCTTATATTTTTTGTCCCATTCTCCTCGATTCCTTGCTCTTGCTTCCTCCGATTACCCTCCAAATGCCCACCCTTCTCCCAAGTCCCTTTGTCAATCTCTACTTGAGATTGACAGGCAACCGGTAAAGTCGACTCCATGAACTCATCTTGCTCAGAATGAAAGGTTAATTTACTGGAAGATTATTTCAGTGTTTCACACCGAAACCAGGCCTCAAGGAAAACCAAGATCAGGGATCCAATACCACTAAGTTCCTCTCTGTTCCTTGTTCCTTCCCTAATGGTATTACTTTTAGAGAAAAAGGTGGAATCTACCCTCAGCAACAGAGAGAAAAATCCCAGAGAAGGATTGTAATTGATGACCCTTGGGTTGGTGTCTGTGATTGGTACAATGGGAAACAGGGCACTCTCATTGGTTCCTTGTGGGTCAGGGTTCTAGCCCCGATCAAAGTGTGGCTGGGCGGTAATGTCAGGGCCTTCAGGCATGGCCAGTGGAAGCCACCATTATATTGCAGGGCATTCCCAGAAATAGGGGAATGACTGAGAGATGGGGAAAGCTCCACTAGTTTTCTAAAACCATTGACATCCACTCTCACTTCTCTTAACTGCTGTGGGAAACAAAGGCGGAAGGAAATGTAGATAAAATTAAATGTCCTTATAACCTGCAGCCCACTGACATATACTTGAAATAGGCAGATTATAACATTCCTCCAGGATCCTGCAAGTCTTCTTTAGCATATGAAAGTCCTTTTGGAACTTCCCTTATCTTTACTTCCCCAACCCCAAGGTATATTAATCACTGCCCCTCACAATTCCAGGGCAGCTGGGAGCAGCAGGGAGCAGCTCTTTCTGCCCACGGGTCCTGTCCCTGTGCTTTAATAAAACCACCGTTTTGCCCCAAAAACATCTCAAGAATTCTTTCTTGGCTGTCGGCTCTGGACTCCACCAACACACAACAACATTCCAAAAAAAACCCCCCAAAACCAAAAACTACATCACTACTTCCTCTTTCCTGATTCTTCCTCAGCTTCCCTCACATGCTGTCCTTCCTCTGCCCAGTGCATAAATGCTGGTGTTCCTGAAAGTTCTATCCTTATTCTTTTTCTCTTCCCATTCTTATTCATTTCCAGAGTTATCTAATTCCACCGCAGACATCATGGCCTTCTCCCCAACATTTAATCCTCTCCAAACATTTAATCTAATCTAGTCATGGTAGTTCCATCCCCCTTGGCAACAATTTGTTTGGGATGAACAGGACTTAGTCAGATTAAACGGGTGAGATTTAAGGAGAAGCTTGCTTAGGACTTCTGGGAAAGAGACATCAGTCTTACTGTTGCCTGTTGGATGGGAAAGGGGAGCATGCTGCCTCAGTTGCCCCCAGCAGTCATTCTGTGATATGAGGGGAGCCAGCTTCGGTATGAAGTCAATGGTGGGCACAGCAGAGCAGTGAGACAGAAGCGTCTCAGATTCCTAATTGTTCCGAGTTGGTGAGCCAGGGAATCTACTCGGTCTGCCCTACCATTGGATTTCCTGCATTGTGAGACGATACATTTCCAAACTGCATAAACCAGTTTGAATCAGGTGCCTGCTGCTTGGAGATGCCAGCATCCTACTTAATTCACACTCACTACTATGAATTCTCTCAAACTCGCTTTCCTGGGCTCCAGACCTACCCACATTTCCCAGCTTTGCTCCTCTTCTTCCTGGGTTTCCTACGATTCTTTCACATAAGAAAGAAGAATCCGGTGCCTACTATTATGCCAAGCTCTGTTGTAGACACTGCAGCTAGAGCAGTTGCTGAAACAAGACTGCTGTCCTCATGGACCAGTGAAGGAGGCAGACAATAAACAAAACTATTTTCTGAATAAATGAAATAACGAACAATGCGGAGTAGGAACTCAGTGTTGAGTAAAAAAGTTATCATTGCCTAGAGAATATCAGCCCAGAGACTGGTATTCACGCAGCAGAGAGCCCTGGGAACTGTCAGACCCTGCTCTTGCAGCCCCCCTTGGAATCTAGAAGGGTAAATAACGACCCAGGGCCAGCCCTCTGGAGCTGAGTCCAGAAAGAATGCGAACATGGACTGAGTGCTAATTTTGTCAGGCCCTCTATAAAGTGACTTTGGGTAACTATTCTCATTTAGTCCTCAACCGATTCTAGGAGTTCGTGCAAGGACAAACAGTCCGGCCAGTGACAAGAGCTCCCTCCAGCCAGTCCTCACCCTTGGGTTTAGGCCGGGTGCGTGTGACTTTGTGCAAGTCACGGTCTCGCTCGTTTTTCCACGCTCTAGCCAGTGTCTGTAGCGTCTGACGCCTGGGGGTTCCCCGGCGCCTGCGGGGGAGAGGGGGTCCGAGGGATGCGGGGCCGAATGCAAAGAAGGGAGGTCACTGAGATGAGTACAGAGGCTGTCAGTGGTCAGTAAAGAGGGATGAGTGGGTGAGGAGATCCTGGGAGAGAGAGACGGACTCTGACAGGCGCATTCTTCCCCACCCTGCCCTCTGCTCCCGCACGCCGTCGGCCGCCGCTGCCCCGACCTTCTCCTGGGCTCCGGAAGGAGGGCATTCCCTTTCCTCCACTGGGTGTCTCTACGCCACTGGCCCGGGCCGAAAGGCGACAAATGCTCCGCGAGCCATGCAGCTTGACTAGGCCCCTGCTCCTTTGCCCCGGAACTCGCAGTTCTGCTACTCTTCGCCTCTCCTCTCGTCCACTCCCCCCTCGGCTCCTGACCACTTGGTCTGCGCCATCTGCATTCGCTGTGTGCTGGGCCCGCCCGCACTGCGGGGGAGAGGCGGGGAGCCGCCCACGCCGCGCTCGGCGCTCGGCGTCGCCGTCTCCCTGGGACGCGCGCGGACTGTGCGGCGCGCGGGAGCCGGGCGGGCAGCCATGGCGCGGCGCGCGGGGAGGTAGCCGGGCTGGCCGCGGGGAGCGCAGGGGCCGCCATGGCCCGGCGGCGGCGCCGCGCCTGCATCGCGCTGTTCCTGGTGCTGCTCTTCGCCTTCGGCACCCTAATGGGCCTGCGCACGCTCAAGGCTCCGGACGGACTCCCGGCGCTGGGCCCGGGCCTGGAGCTGGCGCCCTTTGAGCGACGCCCGGAGGGAGCCCCCGCGCCCGCCGCCCGGGCCCCAGCTGCCCCCGCCGCGCCGCCCCCGCCGCCGCCCCGCACCGCTGGCCCGGGCAGTTCCCCGGGCCCGGCTCCCGCGGAGGCCGAGCCCGCCCCCGGGCAGAGTCTGCGCGTCTACTCGGACCTGCACGCCTTCTACTACTCCTGGTACGGGAGCCCGCAGCGCGAGGGCCACTACATTCACTGGGACCACGTCATGGTGCCGCACTGGGACCCCAAGATCTCGGCCAGCTATCCCCGCGGCCGCCATAGTCCTCCCGACGACTTGGGCTCCAGCTTCTACCCGGAGCTGGGGCCCTACAGCTCCCGGGACCCCGAGGTGCTGCGGGAGCACATGACCCAGCTCAAGGAAGCCGCCATCGGTGAGTTCCCCCACCCCCGGGCTGCCCTGTTCCCCAGCCTCACCCTTCCTCAGTTTCCACACCCCAGCTCCCGCTGGTCCTGTCACCGGGCCTCTGATCCCACTCACCCTTCCGCCTAGCTTCTTACTCCCTCCCTTCTATTTTCATTCAGCGCTTACCGCGCGGCGCCGCCCCCCCAACTCCTGATATTGACTTCCCCATCTCTGCCATCTGACCCCTCACAGCAGGGCCCTTTCATAGGGCGGAGCTGCCGGGAGGGCCAGTGGAAGAAGGCATTTGCTCCGAGCTGTCCCAAGTAGGGACAGCAGGGAGAAGGAGAAAGTCTTCATGTCTCTTGGGCTTCTAGGCTTGGTGAGGACTGGGCATCCTGGCCCTGCAGGAGTGGAGTTCAGACGAGCCACGCCTGGGATGGCCAATGCTTTCACACCAGATACAAGATGGGGCAGCAACCCTTCCAGTTTTTGCTGGCTGCAGGAAGTTTGCCCATGTTGGACCCTGCTGTTTGCAGTAGGGGGGGCAGGAGGTTTTCTTAAAGTACTCTGCTTGCAAAGAGGTCCCTGGGAGCCTCTTTTGTAGGCAGGCTCGGGTGGGGAGGCTCACTTCTTTCGGATTGTGTTACTGAATTCTCCTGGAGTTTAGAACACATTTCAATTTATCTAGAGATGGTTAGTGAATGGGGAGAGGGGTTGAATGACAGAGACAATGATGGGAGGTATTTACAGATAACACAGAGGCTACCCCTCAGGATTTTACGAGACAAATGTTATTTCCCTCGGGAAGCATCAGATGACCTCTGCGTGGGGCTCTTATCCCTGCGGGACCTTAGAGGGGCCCCTATTCTCCAGAGAGAGGACTGTGGCTTCCAGATGGGTGTGGCATTATCCAGTATTTCCTTTTGTTCTACTTCTTGCGGATGCAAGCGGAAGTCTGAGTCCTCCTGGCTTTTCTCAGGCTCCTTCCCCGCTTGGTGCGCAAAGGTTCCCGCTGCTGCGGCGCTTCAGCACCGCGGGCGTGGACAGCTCCGGGACGCTAGGCTCTGGGATCTGATCCGTAAGAAGTGAACCTGGCAGGAGCCTCGCTCAAGGTTTCATTCAGAAACCATTTCGCAGTTGGAGATGGTTTGGGAGGAAACGCATCTCTGTTGCGGGGGTACTGTGTCTCTCTGAAGTAGCTACTCTCTTGTGTCTCAGGCGTCCTGGTCCTGTCCTGGTACCCACCTGGCATGGCTGATGATAACGGGGAACCCTCAGGCGACCTGGTACCCGCCATTCTTGACACCGCCCATCAGTACAACATCCAGGTGAGTGTCCAAAGAAGAGGTCAGGTGCTCTTTGGCCCATTCTGGAGATTTCCCCTTCTCTGCCCACAGGGTTAGCTTTTGGCTTTAGCCCAGGTATGGCAAATACACAGCAAGTGGTATGTGTGTGGGGGGGTGAGGTTCTAATAAATAGCACCTGTCACTGTTATTTTCTTGAATTCTGGGGGGGGGGGGGGAATCGGAAAAACTAAATATAGGAGAAATGGAAGACTGAATAAGTATCACTGTGATAGAGTTAGGTAGGAGACCCTGACTCTTGAATAGAGGGCAGGCAAGGGCCAAACGGGCCCAGAAACCAAACGTCTCAGATCCCTAGTGGGAGGCAGTGCTGGGCCTCAAGGAGTAAAGTACAGGCAGGTGGGTGCACTTTCAAGAGGAATGATGGAGCGGAGCTAAGCATGTCCAGTTACTTTCCCCAAATGAACCTAGTAAGTCATTCCCCTCTCCTGTGGTGAAGGAAGAGAAACAGCAGAGAAGAACCCCACCCCGTTCCTGAGCCCATCACCGACATGTTTAACAGATCAGAGCACCTCTGCCTGACAGCTTCCGCAAACTTCTTCCCATGGTTTCAGACAGCTAGTGCCAATCACGTGGAGCTGGCACATAAGCTCAGACCTATTAGCCATCCAGTGACATCCCATCAGAATGATTCCCAGATGCCTGCTGTGGGAGGTGGCCAGGCTTCTTGGCCCTCTTTTTCTGACCCTAAGGGCAGTGGCTGCTTTTATCTCCGTTATGCCCACTGTTGCCAGGCCTCCGCCTCCAAGCCCCAGTGGAAACATGAGCCTTATAGGTTGTGGTCCCTGGGCAGCTACTCACCTGACCAGTACCTCCTGTTTGTGGCAGGTGGCCTTCCATATCCAACCCTACAAGGGCCGGGATGACATCACTCTGCATGACAACATCAAGTACATCATTGACACGTAAGGCTGCTGTGGGGCCTGGATCTCAATGGGGATCAAAAAGGGGGAGGGGATAGATTTAGAGGGGTAGGTCGAGAGACACCAGGGCAGAATGCCAGTGTCCTCAGCAGCTACTTCCTAATAATACAGTACTAGGCTTGGAGTCAGCAATCTGGGTTTGAATTCCAGTTCTGCAGCCTCCAATCTGTGATCTGTTGCAAGCCTCTTAACCTTTGAGTCTTGTGAGAATTAGAGGAGTTAATATATGGGGGAATGGCTTATACTGTGCTTGCAGGTTTCATCCACTCACTCAAAAAGTACTTGAGTGCCTTCAGGTGTCCGGGCACTGTCCTCAGCCCCGGTTGTACAGTCATGGGTAGGACTGGCGAGGTTTACATTCTAATGTGTGGCTGCAGTGAGGCGGATAATAGTTACACATGAAAAATCACATAGTGGCCCATGCGATTAGAAAGTGATAATAAAGAATAGGGCAGGGTATTGTGTTAGAGCATGCCTGAGAATGGGTGCTAGACTTCAGAACAGGTGGTCAAGGGAGCCTCTCTGAGGAGAGGACGTGTGAGCTAACACCTGAAGGAAGAGTCAGCTTTGCAAAGATCTGGGGCAGGCAGAAAATTCCAGGCAGAGGGCTGTCAGATCCAAAGGCTCATGATGGGACAAGTTTGACAGCAGAATAAGAGGCCGGTGTAGCTCGTGTGTGGAGATGGGGTAATAGAAGGAGTGGAGGTGGGCAGGGCCAGACCAAGTTGGAGGGGCCTTGGCAGGCCTCAGTCAGGAGCAAGCAGATCTGGTTCATGCCTTAGATAGTGGATCATAGGGAGCCAGAAGCAGGAGCCTGGAGACCGGTTAGCTGGCTGCTTCGGTCCCAACGGGGGAGGGGGGTGGCGTGGTGTGGGACAAGGAAGTGCGGCTTGAATGGAGGGAGGCTGAGGCTGGGGAGATGTGGGTGGGAACTAGGTTCTTGCTCAGGGGCATGAGGAGTGCAAGTGTGGGGACAGACTGGGTCCCACATCGCACTTGGGCATCAGGAAAGGTCTGGCCCATGGCTTGTCCTGCAGCTGTGCTGGCTGCCCCCCTCCTCGGCAGCCAGCTCAGGTTCTTCTCCCTCCCACTCCTCAGGTATGGCTCCCATGGGGCATTTTACCGCTATAAGAACAGCATGGGTAAGAGCCTCCCACTCTTTTATATCTACGACTCATACCTGACATCCCCTGAGGCCTGGGCCCACCTCCTGACACCCAACGGGCCCCACTCGATCCGCAACACCCCCTACGATGGGGTCTTCATCGCGCTGCTGGTGGAGGAGGGCCACACCCACGACATCCTGGCTGCTGGGTTTGATGGCATGTATACCTACTTCGCCTCCAACGGTTTCTCCTTCGGCTCCTCCCATCAGAACTGGAAGGCTGTGAAGAGCTTTTGTGATGCCCACAACCTCATGTTCATCCCCAGCGTGGGGCCTGGCTACATTGACACCAGCATCCGGCCCTGGAACAACCACAATACTCGGAACAGGGTCAATGGCAAGTACTATGAGACAGCCTTGCAGGCAGCCCTGACCGTGAGGCCCGAGATTGTCTCCATCACATCTTTCAATGAGTGGCACGAGGGCACCCAGATCGAGAAGGCCATCCCCAAGAAGACGCCAACGCGGCTGTATTTGGACTACCTGCCTCACCAGCCCAGCCTGTACCTGGAGCTGACTCGCCGCTGGGCAGAGCACTTCATCAAAGAGAAGGAGCAGTGGCTGATGTGAGAAGCCTGGGGCCACGAGGTGCCAATGTCCTGGCCTCCCCGGAAGGTGTCACCGTGGGGGGCTCAGCTGAGGTTGGAGGCACTTGCTGGTTCCCCAGTCAGCAGCGGGGCGCCTCTGGGCGGGCCATCAAGCCTGGGCCCATGTGGAACAGAGCTTGTTCCTCAGGCATGTGGGGCCGGGGGGCTCTGCAGGGACAGGAAGTGAGGCAGGGTTCCAGAGAGGGCCCCAGAGAGGCTGGCGGGTGACTGGACTCAGCCGAGGGCCACTCCACATCCTGTCATAACACTTTAAAATGATCCCTTCGAGCTTGGAACTCAGTAGGTTGGTGTTGCATAGCAGTCCCGAGGTCACTGCTGTTAGGAGGGGTCAGGGCTCTGGGCGAGCACGTGTCCTGCTGCCTCTTCAGCCTTCTTCTGTCTTCTCCAAGTGAGGGAACCACATTTGAAACTTCCCAAGAGGGAAATTCTAGGTTTAAGCCCTTCCCAATAGACTCCTGAACACAACAATCAGGAAATAACCCTGAGCCTTCGTACACTCATTCAACACATACTGACAGAGTACCTACTATGTGCTAGAGACTTCACATGGAAAGGTTTCTTTCTCCCAGAAGCTTACAGGATCCAGCTTTCCTTATTTGGCGTGGCCTTGTAGCTAGTGCCTGAGCACAGTTTTTCCCTTTTTTGAAGTTTTCTCCAATGCTGAGAGTTTTTTTTTTTTCTTCTTCCTCAAGAAAATACCTCTGTGCTCCAGAGCCCACATTTCCCCAGATGACCATCTAGCTCCAGGGAGAGGACCAGGACATCCTCCCTCCCTTTAGCTGCCTAAACCGAATGAGGCCCACTCAGTAGAGCCATTTTCAGAGCTACTGTGATTTCTATCAATTAAATATGACACAGTCTTCTCAAGTAAGCATTCCTTTTGCTCTCTTCAAGCCTTCCTGAACTCTGAGCCCTCTCTCAAATGCTGTGACAAACTGACATGTGAGATGGGCTGGCCAGTGTCAGCAAAACGAAGAGTGAGTTTGCTTCAGAAACCAGAAGTGTAATCAAGACTTTTAGTGGGGATATTTAACAGTGCTTATTTACAAATAAACGAGTATACTCGTTGTGGGGACCCTCAAAGCAGGCCCTGGAACACCTTCTTGGCAAGATTTAGGAGCTACTTGGAAATCTGTGCATTACTTTATGGGCTGAAGCCTGAATCCCAGTTGTGGGAATGGAGTGCAAGGCAGGAGGGGAGGAAGTGGGGCCTACGGATTACTACGGGACCCCCAGCTCCAGTGAGGTGATGAGCACTGGATGCCACAATGGACAGGGCAGATCAGGACAGGAGCGCAGCACTGGAAGGTGACCCGCAGTACTTTACAGAAGGGAAAAACACAGAGGCTTCATTTCACACATACACGGTTTGAAAAATACTAAAAGCATGGCAAGCTCGGGGCCAGGAGCAGTAATTCTCATTCATTGCAGCTTGATGAGTTCTTTCGGAGGCTAAACTGTAGCAAGAGCCATAAAGATGTTCATACACTTTGACCCTGTAATCCTACCCCTGAGGAAATAATTCAAAGGACGAAAAATAAACTATTTACAAAACATTTCTTATTAAAGAAAAACAAGGTTTAAACAGTCAAGAATAATTCTGTTTAACACTTGGTATACGTATGAATAAAGGCTTTGAGTACACACTGGATTCAAATAAAGGTATTACAGGCATAACTCATTATAATTTATTTTACGACTAAATAAGAAAAAAGCTACTAGCTAAAAAGAATAGTGGAGATTTGTTTTCCAGTATTCTTTGATTTGGACTTCCCTACCCGTGCCCCTTGCCAACGGAGCTCACTTCTCACCATTAGTCCAAAATGCTGACTTCTCTCCACCAGGCCTTCCGGCACACCACACCACCAGCCTCTCCAGTTCAGAGAAAATAGTGTCGGGCCTTGGCTCGACAGTCTTTATCCTACTGTGGTTCCAGCTTCAGGTGCCTAAGTACATGCCTTTGGTCACTGGAGACTTTTAAACAGCACCGGCTGGTGCTCTGGGGCTGATTTGGACCTTAAATGCCACTACCCGCCAGACAGGGGGCTCCAACTGGATTCCAAATCTGTTCCTCAAATTATTTTTCAGAAAAGATTTTTGAAAAAGAAACTTATTAGAACAAGGCCATCCTAGGAATGTTCTCAAAGTCTCTACGTCACCTTTTGGCTGATATTTGAAATTACAAATAAATATGACCTCCCCACCAGGTGTGACACGACACCAGCAGCTTCTGGGGCTTGTTCTACAGTGTTCAGAAAGACGCAGTGCCTTAAAGAGTCAGACTAGTGACGTCGCAGCCCCAGTGGCCTCTGTCAATGAGGCCTTGCCAGTCCCCAACGGACAGACACACAGTGTCCAGCACCAGTCCTCAGGCCCTCCCCTCTTCCTGAGATGCAGAAGCAGGATCAGTGCGAGGGGAGCAGCCCGTACTTCTGCTGGAGGATGGCTGTGGTACTCTCCAGGGCACTGAGGAAGAAATGGAGGCAGTTCAAGTTCGACTTCTCAAAGCCCCAAGCCCACCAGAGTCTGGTGATCAGCGACCTCTAAACCCTCTGGTCTTAACTATGCTCTCTTCACCAAATCTGTGATGAATCCTTTGAAACCTCAAAAAGCCAGCAAACACCAGCAAACTTAGTGCCCCTCCATCCACCACTTCTCCAAACCTGCCCACCCTGCTCAGGATAAGAGAGCAGTGCCAATCTTTATTTGGTTAAGGCCTTTTTTTTTTTTTGCACCTTCCAACCTTCCTCAAATTCTATCCCCATGCCACAGCAAAGAGACTCACCAGCCTGGACGAAGGATGCCAAACTTTCCAGGTACAGACAAATCAACCACAGTTGAGCCCAGGCGATACTTGGGGCTCTGGCCATCCCCAATTGGTCCCCCATCAATGACCAGGGACAACTGAGGCCAGAGGTCCTGGAACTCCTGAGGAGAGGGAGAGGAAGCATGGACACTACCCCTAGCATCTGCAATGATGGCATACTGCACACAGCCCTCATAAGGAGACGAAGACCACACACTTCTAAAACAGGAGGCATCTTCCTTGAAGCAGGGGAAGGAACCTCATTCAGTTAAGGTCAGTTAGCACCTAGGACATGGCATCCCATGAGGTTTGGAGCCACCCCAGGTTAGCACCTCAAGTAACACCTATCTAGAGCTTAAAGAAAATCTTGCTGTGCCAAGAGGATATTCCACACAGTGCTTCTGTTGGGGACAAATTGGTCCAATAGCTGGAGTCCTAGGTGGGTGTCCAAAGATGTCGGCTCTACCCTGAACTTTCGCCTAGATTTCTATGTCACCGCATGCAAATTACTTCATCCAGAGCATCTCCTGGATCTCAGGAGAACTCTGGGTAAGGGTAGGGAGAGGAAGACAGGGTGGACTCGGCACTTGCATGCCACCAGCACTCAATCCTTGGGCTACGGGAAGGATACCGCCTCTGAAATCCGTGGCCTGAACTGTTAACTGGGTTAGAGCATCACCTGCTCTCTCCACCACCACCACTCATGGCCAACACTGCAGTGGTGGCTAGGCCTGGGCATTTGGGATGGAGGAGCCTAACCACCAGTTACTGCATTGGACGGGTCAAATGTTTGCTGACAAGAATACCCCTACCCCCCAATCCCCACTGCCTCGGGCATAGCCACCAGGTAAAGCCTGCAGTCCCAAAATAAGAAAGGATGCCGGGGCCTCAGTTTCTAAGGCCCCTGAAGCCACTCTCTAGGTCTGGGCATGGAAAACCCCATCACTGTGCTATGTTTTACATTTAAGTTCAGGAAGAAGAAAAATGTGTGGTAAGTGACATTTCTTTGTGTTTGCCTTCCTTCCAAGCTATGCAGTCAAGACATAATTAGGATGATTCTTTGACCTGGCTAGTGGCCAGGGAAGAGAACAGCATCAGGGGTCCCTGGGCCAAGTTCTTGGAGTCTTAACTTTCGTTACAGCACTGTTGTAAAGACTTACTGCCTAACTATATTTTCAAACAGCTACCACCACAAAAAGGGGGAAAAAGCTACATTTACCATGATGTTTCTTATTACTAAAAAGACAACAAGAAGAAAACACCAATTATCCCCTCTTACCTCTCAAGTTTTTTTAGATTTTATTTATTTATTTAACAGAGAGAGAGAGAGCACAAGTAGGCAGAACAGCAGGGAGAGGGAGAGGAAGAAGCATGCTCTCCGCTGAGCAGGGAGCCTGACATGGGGCTCGATCCCAGGACCCTGGGATCATGACCTGAGCCGAAGCCAGGCGCTTAACCGCCTGAGCCACCCAGGCGCCCCACCTCTCAAGCTTTTTTAATTAAACCTTTCCAAGATTCTTTAATTTGGATCCCCCCCATCCCACTCCTGTCAACCAGACAGACTTCTCACTATCAGACTAAATGGGTGAGCCTCCTGCAAGGCATTCCAGTGAACCATCAACCCTACTAATTCAGAGGAAACTGTGTCTGGCCTGGTGACGTTTCTGGGGGGAGGACGGGTAACTTACCTCGACATTCAGAGAACTGGCCTGGGAGCTAAGGTTGGCACTGGTGAGAGCGAGTGGTCCCCCAAACACCTGGACCAAATCCTGTATGAAGGCATGGTCAGGAATCCGGATGCCTACAAGCTATGAGGCAAGGGAAAAGGGGATAGTCAGAAAGGTTGTAAGGGGTGGGGAATAACTCTAGCCTGGATCCTAGTGAAAGCCAGAGGGCAGGAGTCTGGGGACACAAGAGAAAATCTGACTCACAGGAGTAAAGGGGTTCAGGTCCTTATTGAGCTCCTCCGAGCGTTCCAACACCAGGGTCACTGGTCCTGGTAGTAAGTCTTTCAGGAGTCCCTCAGGTACCCTCACATGGCAGTACCTGGAAAACAGGGCACAAATCCATCCAAGAATGAAGGGTCGCTGCTGGTCTCATTCTAGACGGTAGTCAGAGCTAGAAAAGGGGACCCTGGGGATTACAATGGGATCTGTCTTCCCTCTTCACCTCCCTAAGAGTTTGAGAAGGGAGGCTCCAGAAGAACACCCTCGGCTTGGAGCCCACATGCTTCTGGTCCCCGAGACTACAACAGCTGCACCGTTATCACGCTCCGTGTTTCATTTTCTTCCAGGCATCCCCTACTAAATTCAGCTATCGCGTTTGTTTCCTTCGTTGTTGTTTTTAAACCGTGGGAGTCCCGACCCCCTCCCCTCATTATCACAAAAACACCAGGAGAACAGGGACCCTGCCTGCCTCGTTCATCGCTGCGCCCCAGCATCTCGTTCAGGGACTGGAAGACGTTAAGCACTCGATACACATTTCCAGTTCCGGATTCCTGGGTGAGCCTGGACAAGCCCCTCCCGCTCTCTGCGCCTCAGTCTCCCAAGCCTGTCACCGGAAGCCCCTCCCGCGGTGCCGCCCCCAGCGGGGCCGGGTCGGGGCGGCCTCACCTGTAGACGTCGGCCACGCGGCCCAGGCAGACGGCCAGCGGCTTGGCCTGGCTGCGGCCCTTGAGGCGGTACACAGCGCCCAGTGCCGCCGAGCAGCTTGCCGAACAGGCCAGGCCGTACAGCGTGTCCGTGGGGACGGCCACCACGGCGCCGGCGCGCAGCTCGGCCACGGCGGCCCGCAGCGCCTCGGTCCAGCCGGCGCGCTCCGGGTTTGCGGCCCGCACGGCCCCGCTCCCCGGGAGCCGCAACAGCCGGGCCCCCGGCGCCGCCGGAGCGGGGCTCGGCGGGCGGAGGAGGCGGCCCCTCCGAGCGGAGCCCGCCGGCCCCTCGCTCAACCCCACGCTGGCAGCCACCGCGGCCCTCATCCCCCTGCACGGACGCGCCGGAGACATCCGCCCGGCCCCGCTTCCGGGAGGAAGTGACGCGCCCAGTCAGCTTCCGGCCGGGGAGGCTCGGCCCCACCTCCGCGCCGGGCAACTTAAAGGGACCGCGACCCCCAGGAGGATTGAAGGAGACCGGTGGGGACGGGGCGGGGCGCAGCTTTGCGGAGCCCTAGCGCAGCGCTGGGGAGGGGGGCGGCCGAAAGGGGGGCGGTGGTCGGGCCGCGCAGGCGGAGATGGAATGGGGCCCGGGCTCAGACTGGTCACGGGGGTGAGAGGGGGCCCGTCGGGGCGGGGGGAAGGGGCTCAGACCCCGCGCGAGCGCCGGCCCTGACCGTGTGTGTGTGTGTGTCGCTCTCTCCCGGGCAGGGAGGCTGCCGGCGTGGACCGTGGGAAGGCGGGGCTGGGGCTCGGCGGGAGGCCACCCCCGCAGCCGCCCCGGGATGAGCGCGCCCAGCAGCTGCTGGACGCGGTGGAGCAGCGGCAGCGGCAGCTCCTGGACACCATCGCCTCCTGCGAGGAGATGCTGCGGCAGCTGGGCCGCCGGCGCCCGGAGCCGGCTGGTGGCGGGGTCAGTGCCCACCCCGGGCTGGGCCTGGGAGGTGGGGACTGCCCCGTGGCTGGACTTGCTAAGCCCTAGCTTCCCCTGGAGGGTGGACGTGTCCCCACCGCTTTACCCCCCCGCCCCAACCTCCTTTCATCCGGGCGAGAGGCTTTGAAAAAGTTAAGTGCTATCCGAATGCCAAGTGGCCATCTCCTTGCGGGGCCTAATCCAAGGCCTTTCCTCTCCGCCTCACTTTTCCTTTCTGTTCCAACCAGAACGTCTCAGCCAAACCCGGAGCACCTCCCCAAACAGCTGTCTCCGCCAGAGGTGGCTTTCCAAAGGATGCTGGCGACGGAGCTGCGGAGCCCTGACCATCCCTGATGGGCGCCCTGACTTCTCTCCCTCCCGGGGCTGGTGGCTGGACTCGAACAACTCCCTTCAATAAAGGGGCCAGTCTTCACTGGCAGTGGCTGGTACTTGGCTCTCAGCCTGGGGTGGCAGCTCTGCAAGCAGCTGGGTTCACTCCCACTTCATCCTGGCTGAAGGCAGTGCTGAGCTTTGAAATGTAGCCAACGAATACCCATTCTGATTACCGGATTTGGGCAGACCAGCAGTGCTCTCCAGAGTGGTCTGGCCTGCTTTGGGGGATCCAGGTGGTGTTACATGTCCATTTCATGCTTTGGGGGCTCCTAGCCCCACAAAACACTTTTAGCAGAGCCTTGATTAAAAGGAAACCTGCAGACTCTCCTGGTGACCGACCTTTCCTTTCTGTCCCCTGAGACTCAGCTGGGGAGGGGAGTTGGGCTAAGTAGTGGAAAATTGTCAACCATGGGTAGGTTTGGAAAGAAATGCCACAGATACTACCAGATTTAAATAAGCATTTAATTAGGATTTCATTAGTATTTAATATTGCTTTTTCAATTCCAAAAAGTTAAATTTTCACTTCTTAGCAGGTATTTTAAAGTACAATATTAAGTTTATACAAAATGAGCAATTAAGCAAACACCATTATTTCACATTCTTCAAAAATACAAATTCATATTTACTCTTTTTTGGGTTGGGAGGTTTCTTCCTTTGGAAGTACTGAACCTGTAACGTTTTCATATCGCTCAGTGGAAGTCCGTTGTTCCCATGTTTCACACTTCAATAAATTTGATAGGCTTTCACATCCAAATAAAACCATTTGAGATTTAAAAAACCGTCACCAAGACCTCCGGCCAATGACTACTAGTGTGTGTCAAAAAAGAAGGCTCTCTGTGGGTCTTGCCTTTCCTGGCCAGAAGATGTGAGCCAGAGATTCAGCAAAAACCTGTTTCCAGCCACCTTCCCCAAAAGGGACTAGGAGGAGCTGACAGGGAAAGGTAACAGCCACCTTGAACTCTGTCCTCCCCACCCCCACATTCTCGAAACACAACAAAGGATGTAGACTGTTGAATCAAAGGCGCCCTGGGGAGGCCTAAGGACTTGGGAGAAGGGCAAGAGAGGCCTCTGACTTGGCACCACTTCGAGGATAACAAGGATATTGCAAAAAACACCCCTGGGTTTTGGTGAAAAAAGTTTTTATGAAAAATTTTCCCATAAGAAAAAGAGTAGAAACTGCATTGAGCTGAGAAAGTGACACTACATTATCACCCAATTTTTGGCCCAGCAGGCACACCACCAAAAGGGCAGTGTGTGGTTTTAAACTTTGCTTCCAGTAAAAAAAGCTTGTACTATGTACACATTGACATAAGATCCAGTTTAATTTGCATTTTTCAGTGCAGACTGAGAAGCCCTCTGGAACAGGAGTAACAGTGAGAAATGCCCAAAGAGTGATCATCAGCTTCCCCAAAGGGCGTGAGAGGAAACACAGGACCCTCTCCCTGTCCCCCAAAAATATGCAAGAGGAAATAGGCTAAACTGACTACCAACCAGAAATATGCAAAATTCCATTTTGTCGCCTCCCCCCACCCCCAATATTAGGGAATGGACAATTTCCCATCTATGTCACAGCAGGACTATTTGCATATTGATCTGTGGAAATCCTGCTTTGGCTGAAGTGTTATTTCAAAACTTCTCTATTCTACAGTAGCCTGAGAATTGAAGATAAAATGGGGGGGGAAACTCCCCCCTCCGAGACAAAAGGGGAATATGGGGGAAGGAAGAAAGTCGATAAAGCAGATTATTAACAGCTTTGTTTACTGGATTTAATGAAGGCTGGAGACCTTTTTTCTTACAGAGCCAGCACGGGCGGTGAGGGGAGCAGTAGGGAAATGGCTCATGTTGCCCGCTCCCCCACTACCACCACAACCTCCCAAACATATTTCTGATTGGTGGTGGAGGAAAATGTAAACTCTAGCAATACTGTTGCAGTTCCACAAAGCAATGGTTTCAGTGACTCTGGAGAAGTCTTTTAAGATTAAGGACAATGAACGTGATTACAAATAGAGAAGTCTAGAAGGTGCCAGGTTTCTACCTAGGAACAACCTGTTCCTTCCTTTCAGGCATCACTTTGTAATGGTGAAGGCGGGGCAAGATGGCAAGGGACCAAGAAGTGATGAGAAAGGGCCTCAACAGTCAGCAGAAGAAAACAGGACCCGCAGCAGTTCTTCAGAGAGCCTGAGGGGGCGCCCTCGGGCACACAGGGAAGGCTTGCATAGATTGAGCAGTTGCTGAGAATGCATAATAGTGTTTCCCTATAGACAGCCTTAGAGCACAGGGCTGATCCAGCGGAAAAACGAGGCCAGGCCAGGGCCACATGGGACAACGACCGTCAAGCTACACATATTGCACCAAGGTAAGTGCTTTTCTTTTCACACCTCAATTTAACTTTTTATTCTGAGCAAAAAATAAAACTTTGTGGAAAGTATATATATGTATATATATACACAAAAGAAATTGCAGCAATTGGGTTAAAGATAAAATAACCTAAAGTGCTTTTTTATTTTATTATTTCTTTAATATACCAATATGAGGTTCTGCAAACTCATCCCTCTGGACACATTCAGCATTATACAAAGTCTCTCAGGAAAACCCACCCACCCTCCATGATCCCCATCAGTCCACTGCCTTGACCCTGAAGGTAAAACTCCAATCTACTGACTTTCCCAGAGCTGGTGGAGAGAAGTCCCTGGCTTCTACCCAGAGAGGTCTTCACACCTTAAGGCCCCTCCTGGGCTTTGTACCATGATCTCCTTCTAAGGGGAAAGGGGTGGAATTTAATAAATGACACCAACTCCTGTCACCAAACTAGTGATGCCCCCATGAGGCTGGCCAGACCCCCCCCCCAAACCAGGAGAGGCAGGGCCATTCTCCCTTGATGTCCCACCTGTGTGCTGGGGAAGGGGCCACTTTGCTAAGGCAGTTTGGGGGTGCCAGCCAGTTTCCTGACCCTTCCTAAGTCCACGAACTCCAGTCCCTGGTGCTGACGACACCCTGTAAAGGGGCGGTGGAGCTGGAGATGCTAGTGGGAGCTGGAAGCATACATCTACCGGGTAGGTATTATTAAGGTTACCATGGGAAGAAAAAAGGCTTGGCTTCACCTGCCCGAAGTTTGCAGCCCTTCCCTAACCTCACCACAGTTTCATTCCTGGGTTTGGGGAAGCACACGCTCCATGAAGGCTCTTTCTGGCTCCACTTTAGTCAGTGGCCTGCTCTTCCCCAAGGTCCCTGGCACCAGAGGCCAGGCTTTGCAGGAGGTGATGGAAGGGAAAGAGCTCTGGAAGAGGAAGGAAAGACTGCCTGCCCTGTAGAAAAAAAACCTCTTTTTTCTACAGATTTTTCTAAAGCTAATTGGCTCTGATAGTCCCCCTTATAATTTTGAGTCACCCTCAAAAGGCAGATACTTCCACTAGAAAAATCTGTCATTCTAAATACTGTTTTAAGATGCTTCTTCATCTCCCCCAATCTTCGGAGAGCAGAAAAGCCACTGACCTACCTAGGCCCAAGAAGAGCGCAGCCCTGGCTAACTAGAAAGAAGAGACCATGAAACCATGGACACTTTCAATGGCCTTCCCTGGGCTCCTGTTTCCCACCTCAGCTCCCAGGAACGGAATCCCTGGTGCCCCTAGGCTGGCTATGTGGGGAGGTCATTCATGTCCTCTGATATGAGCTATCTTTGGGGCCCTATCACGTTGCTCTGTCAGAAGTTGTAGCAAAAACAGCGAGGTTCCTGCCTCAAAGCTTCCCTATGGGTTCAACACCAAGAGACAGCCAAGGACAACCCACACTCAGCAACTGGTTTTCCAGGAAGACTAAGCCACTGTGGTAATAGAAGATTCCTCCCCCCTTATCAACTTCTGCTGAGGTCAGTGGTCACCAGAACCCACCAGCCTTTGGGGGAGGGGAGTGCAGAAGGTCAAAAAGAAATGGATTCTCCGGACTAGACTCCTGGAATGAGAAACCACCAGCTGCCTGGGGGAAGGTCCTTTTCTCTTCATGGTAGTACAACATTTACCACTTCTGCTCGCTTGTCCAACTCTGTCCCTGAAATTCTGTCAAAGGCAGGGCCTCTGGGCCCCCAGATAAATGATCAGCTCTGGATACTGTCTTGGCTGGCCCTGAGTAATAGCTCAGAGAACAGATGAGTGACACATGCAGATCTCTTTACATTAGGGAATGGAAAAAGAAGGCAAAATTATGGCTGCTGTCTGTCTGACACTGCTGACTCAGGAGAGCAGCCCTGTTTGTGGACCCCTGTTCCTCGCCCAAGGCAAGAAGGGGCTCTTGGAGGCAGAGGCCTAGTCTAGACCCTGGGCCAGGCCTCATTTCTGAGCTCAGTGAGCTTGGTGAGCACTCATGACTACGTTAATACAGCCAGTTGAGAGAAACTTTCCATTTTAGTGTGAATTGTATTTTAGGTTTTATTTTAAAGAGGCAATGACTTGGAGCCAAAGGCAGACAGATGGATATAATTCTATACACAAATCAAAAAAAATTTTTTTTCCTATAACACAACTTAATGAAACATTCCAAATGAGATAACTTATTGCAACATTTCAGGCTTTTTGGTGGAAGGGGGATTTTTGTTTTGTTTTGTTTTACCCTGAGTAGAAGATCGTTTTGTGGTTTTTGTTTTTTTGTTTTAGTTTGTTTAGAAATCACATGACTAAGCTGAGCAAGTCACATCCTTCTTTGCACTGTACTAGGACTATATGCAAAATCCAGAGGGGTGAGAGGCGGAGATGGGCGGGGCCACCAAAAGCCTGGCTAGAACCTGGAACCAGGACACCTGGCCTGCCAATTACATGCCGCCTTAAAAAGAAAACAAACAAACAAAAAAAAACACAAAAAAACTCCCTTAAAGCTGCACCTTCTCCCGATAAGCAAAATGCAGCTCTTCTGCTCGGAGGAAGAAAATACCATTAAAGGCAGGCAGACCACCACCCAGGCACTGGCCATAAGCCACATGTCCACTCTAGGACAAAACAGGGATGTTCCCCAAGAAAAATTCACTGCGATCTGCAAGCCCTGGCTGCCAACCGAGAGAGGGAAAGAACCAGGAAAGCAAAGACTGGGATAACATGGTCAGAGCTTGCTCTGCACACGCACGGACGGACAGCGGTCAACAGCTCGCCCAGGGCCCCCTTAGAACCCGATCACCCACACAGCCTCAGGCCAGGCTTTTCGCTACCCACCGGGCCACAGCCAGCTGCTGGATGACACCTGCCACAGCCACCCTGAGCTCCAGCAACACCAAGAGCAAACAACAAAACCACCTCACCCAGTCCCTGTCAGGCTCACAGCTGTCTGACCCGCCTTGGCCATGC